CCAGTTCCATCTCCTCCACCATCTCCACCTGCCGGAGAGAATTCCTTGGACTTGCGCCATGTGCTGAGCCAATTTACCCGCACGATGACTACCGCTTTGCGGGGGAGGCGTAGTGCAGAAAGTTCAGAAATCAAAAGGGTGAAAGAACTCGGAGCAAAAGAGTGCATGGGTGGCCCAGACCCGGCAGAAGCTGAGTGTTGGATTACTGATGTGGAGCGGATCTTTGAGGTACTGGAGTGCCCAGATGAAGATAGAGTCCGTTTGGCTACCTTTCTACTTAAAGGGAATGCTTATCATTGGTGGAAAGCTGCAAAAAGGGGTTATGAGAATCCAGCTGCTATTACCTGGGAGGAATTCCAAAGAATCTTTTCCGATCAATTCTATCCACATTCCTATCGCTATGCCAAAAAGACAGAGTTCTTATATTTGAAGCAAGGATCAATGTCAGTGGCCGAATATGAACACAAGTTTAATGAACTGTCAAGGTTTGCACCAGAATTAGTGGCTACTGAAGAGGATCGGTGCAGACGCTTTGAAGGCTGTTTGTGGTGGGAGATTCAGACCGTGGTCACTGCCAGCACGTATCCCAACATGAGAGCTTTGGCTCAAGCTGCTGACAGAGTATCTAGGACATGTGCTATAGGTACAGGAAGACGCCGCAGAGATGTGCAAGGATTGGGTGGCCCAAGTCAGGGCCCATCCAAGAGAGGAGGATCTAGTTCCAGCTCTGCTAGTGGTGGATGGTCGGGTGGACGAGGATCCAGTTCTGGTAGTGGGAGATCCGGTTCTCGTCCAGCATGGACTCAGTTTTCAGAGCAGCAGCCTGCATCTAGCACAGCTAGGACTCCCTCCAGGCAGACGGGGTTGACATGCTACAGTTGCGGGCAGGTGGGGCATTTTGCAAAGGATTGCCTTAATTCCATTCAAGGGGGTAAACCAAGCCTGAGCAGCGGCCCAATATGCTACTTTTGTGGACACTCCGGGCATACTAAGAGGATTTGCCCATTGATTTACCCTGGTGATACACCAGTGCAGGGGATCGAAGCCCAACAGGGGCAAGGTATTATGGGTCAGCATCAGAGTCAGGGTGGTGCTACTTCCTCTGCAGCGGGATCTTCCAGTAGCAGGGCACCGTCATCTTCTAGGGGAAGAAGTGGCAGAAATTCAAGGGGTCAGCCTGGGCGTTCTACCACTCAGGCTAGGGTGTTCTCTATGACCCAGCAGGAGGCACAGGCCACTCCAGACGTGATTACTGGTATGATTCCTATTTTTGGTTATCTCGCTCGTGTTTTAATTGACCCGGGGGCCACACATTCTTTCGTAGCACACAACTTCGTACCCTATGTCAGTGTGAGACCGACACCCATGACAGGAAGTTTTAGTATTTCTCTACCCACAGGGGAAGTCATGTATGCAGACCGGGTATTCAGAGAATGCTATGTTCAAGTAGAAGATGCGTGGTTGGAAGCCAACTTGATCCCTTTAGAATTGGTGGATTTGGATAATATTTTGGGGATGGATTGGCTAGAGAAGCATCATGCGTCCGTGGATTGTTACCGGAAGGAAGTGACACTCTGGAGTCCAAGACAGCCTAAAGTGATTTTCCGGGGGGAACGTAGAATCCTCCCTACTTGCCTTATCTCTGCTATTACAGCTAAGAGGTTACTCAAGAAAGGGTGTGAAGGATTTCTAGCTCATATCATCGACACTCGAGAGATCACCTTGAATCTGGAAGATATTCCCGTTGTCAGTGAGTTCCCTGATGTCTTTCCAGATGATCTTCCTGGGTTACCTCCTGAAAGGGAAATTGAGTTCACTGTTGAACTTCTTCCAGGCAACAATCCTATCTATCTAACTCCTTACAGGATGGCACCAGCTGAACTCCGGGAGCTGAAGATTCAGTTGCAGGAATTAGTGGATATGGGTTTCATCCGACCTAGTGTTTCCCCATGGGGTGCACCGGTGTT